ATTTTGGTATTTTTTATGCTTTCTGATTGCCTCCAGGTAGAGGTGATCAAGAAATGGGCTTCCCTTTTCACTCTTCTTCTTGAGAATGTCAAGACACCACTGTTGGTTGTTTTGATGTCATTTAGGATTGAATTTTCGGCTTATTTCCTTTTTTGTCTGCTTGTCCCATTCCACAATCCCCGTCAGGCCTTTTTTTCTAGTTGTAAACAGTTCAGAGCCAGCTGTGGCCATTTGATTTTAATTAGAAACTGTCTCTTTAAATTTCAAGGAGAACCCTCCAAGGGTGGGGCTGTGGTGCCCACTAGCTCAGGCACCCCTATAGTCACCAGAATGGAGTTGCAAAGACAGCAAGGGACCAGTGAACAGCTACCAAGAGAAATGAATGTCCACACCTATATCTCTGCAGTTCTCCCAGGCATCTGTGGCTGCTCCGATCCTTCCCCCACTTGGTCTCACCCAAGATGGCGGCGCCTGGAGCAGTTGAGCTCCTGGACAAGAAAGCAGTGGATTTCTTGCTTCTGCTACAAATTTCCCCAGCTGTAAGCCTTCCAGCCTTCTAAATATTCCTTTATATGTGGTTCAGAATTCTGGGACCATCCCCTGAACCTGCTTGGTCGGGTATTCAGTGTTGTTGCTGGCAGAGCTCCTTTACTGCACTTCCACCCGATCCACCATCTTGTTTGTTCTCCCATTACCTTTTAATTTAATTTTTCCACAAACTTTCTGAAGACATCTCATATCTCTCATCAATATGAAGGAAAATCGTCAATAAGAGTATGGGCATTGATTAATTTGCATATTTAGTCTTCAGAAGCTATGTGTGTATTTGATAATTACCATATTTTCTCTGAGGAGTTGTTGTAGTGCTGGGGATTAGACATTGGGCTGCTAACTGCAAGGCTGATAATTCAAAACCACTAGCTGCTCTGTGGGAGAAAAATGAGCCTGCCTGTTCTGGTAAAAATGTGCAGTTGGGAAATCTTAAATTCTAAACATGAATTGGAATTGATTTGATGACAGTGGGTGTGTTTGTTTTTGCTTTTTTATATTTTCACCTGATTAAAAGACAAGGATATCCTCTGAAATTATGGGGGAGGTGTCTGTCCCGTCCCAAGGTTTCAGGCATAGTAAATTTAAAAATAATCAAGCTGAAAAAGTGGGAAGGCTAAATTATATTGAAAAAAAAATATGCTAAAGTTCATCAAATTTAATATAAAATAAGATGTGTTATGATAACTGTGTCATCCCCCATTACATCACTTAATCTCTTAAATTCAGGAACATCTGATGTCAGTGTTTGTATCTGTATTCCATATTTCTTGGCATAGGCTAGTGAGTATTTCCAGAATAGCATCCATTTGTTGATATATCTCAGTTGGTATTTTGTCATTCCCTGACACCTTGTGATTGAAGGTCTGTTCTGCAGTCATCCCTGGAATTGTTCAACTGATGATATTAAACTTCTCCATTATGTCTTTCTTGAGATGTAGTCAATTTGATTGCTGAGTAGTCCATCTGGAAAAATCCACTTGTATAATTATCATTTATGTTGCTGAAAAAATGTGTTACCAAAGAATAGTTCATTAGTCCTACAAAACTCTGTCATGTGATCTCCAGCATTTTTGTCCATCACCAACGCCTTATTTTATAAATACTCATACTTCTTTGATTACAACTTTCAAATTATAATCACCATCTATTATCAATGGATTATGATTGATTAATTTTAGACTATAGAAGTTAGAAGAAAATCTATTTTGGATAAAGTAAGACCAGATTGCTCCTTGAAAACAATGATAGGACTTTCTCTCTCATACTTTGGATATGTTGTCAGGAAGGACAAGTCTCTGGAAAAGGACATCATGCTTGGTAAAGTAGAGGATCAGCTAAAAAGAAGACTTTCACCCAGATTACTGATACCATGGCAATGACAACAGCAATGGGCTTGCCCATAAAAATAATTCTGAGGATTGTGTAGGACCAGATAGTGTATTGTTTTGTACACAAGGTTACTCTGAGTAGAAGCTGACTTGAAAGCACTTAAAAATAACTATTGTCCATATAAATTTCAGATGATCTTGTATATCAAATAAAGTTAGCAATGTAATTAAGAGAATGGTTTTATTTAATTGGTATACAGTCTATAGGAGCGATTGTTTGCTCGATTTTAAAGCACATTGGCTGTGAACTTTTAATTCTTAGATGATAAGGAATATGTAAGGTTTCCTCAGATTCTGACATGAATAGACTATGAGCATGTGATGTTTATAAATAGAATATACACATAGAAGTATATATAAAACAAATTTTATTGTATATATGTATTTATATGTTCATGTATATAAAACAAATGCACTTTTTTGTACCACCATGTCTGGATTGGATTTCTAGCTTTAAAATGTAAAAACTTGGATTGGTTACTTCATTTCTCTAAATTGGGTTTTCTCATCATATAAAGGAGTTAATCAAATTCACTAATAGATTTGCTATATGCCTGAGTAACACAAATAGTTTGCACTCAGCTACTAACTAGAAGGTTGGCAATTCATATCCACTCATAAAAGTCTGGTAATATGCTTTTGGTAAAGAGGAGACCCTATTCTACTCACTTCTAGTCTGTATCAAATGGGACAGTATGAGTTGAAATAAATCTGTGGCAGTGGATTTGGTGTTTGGAATGGGTTTACTGTGAGGATTAAAGGCAGCAGAACTATTTTCAGCATAATGGAACTGTACAACAAATGTGGACAATTATTATTTGATATTAGTAATTATATGAGGATATGTAAAAAATATTGCTACAGAATCATAAAGATTAAACAAAAGCATCAAAATGAGAACCTCTGATTTCTCAATATATACTCTTTCTAGATCAATACCTTTTGTTGTTGTTGTTCAAAAGTAAAAACATTTATTATCAAGTGAATGGGGGAACAAAATGTGCATTAAATACTACATATTTGGTGGGGAGGACACCATACTTCCTTCCACACAATTACAATGAAAGACCTAACATTTATACATCTCCAATATCTTCATTTTACTCCTGTTATACCATGAATTAATAGGGAGTAGGTTCTAGCAGCTCAGGATCCTTTCTATTTGTGCTCACAAAGTGTGCCTTTCTGTGGGAAACAGACTGGTGCGTAAGATGAACCCAGGTAACTTCCTCTTTGGATTCCTTCTTTTTCTGATCATTTTCCTTCACTTGCTTCAGGAGGGTATAACAGCCTTTAGAGTACTTAATATGTTCAATGCACACATGAATTCTCTTGGTGAGGATATTACACTTGACTTGCTTATTCACAGAAATGCCAACAGCATGCTGGGTCACATTGTAAACTCTTCGAGTTTTGCTGTGGTAACATTTGTGGGGCATGCCTTTTTGAATTGTGTCCATTCCCGTTTTGTCCACAATATCATCTTTCTTGTAGATTTTCATGTATGTGGACAAAAGAATGACCCCATGTTTTCTGAAAGTCCTGGAGAACATATAGCGGGTACCTTTTTCCCTTTGTGTTCATCAT